AAATTTTAATTCCGCTTTTTGCTAGATACTGCAACTAAGATTCAACTATGTTTTCATCAATAGTCCTTATTTTTTCTCTCGAAATTTAGCATAAGATCTCCATAAATCAAGCTTAATTTGTTTCTATTAGCCTATTAACACATGAATTAATAGGGTTTATACATAGACTGATCATGGAAGTTTTGTAAAAATGGAATTATTAAGAAATTGTTCAAACGTGCTTGATAAATTTTACTTTATAAAAAAACAAACTTTTCTTACAAAATTTCTATGAAAACCCATGTATGTTTCTTTGTTTTTGTTTAATCCCGATAGAGAATTGCTTGTAATTATCTCTTGAGGAAAAAAATAGGCAATCAGATATATATTCTGAATTTAAAATTTATAAATTTCTACATTGATTTGAAGTATATAATAATAACTGATTGAATTCACAATCTAATATAATTATAAGTACTTAAGTACTCCCTCCGTCCCATTTTATGTGGCAACATTTGACCGGGCACGGAGTTTAAGAAATAGATAAAGACTTTGAAATGTTTACCAAATTGCCCTTAAAAAAATAGACTTATTTTTCTCTCTCCTAATAAATGTATTGGAGTACTCTTTTCAAGATTAAGTGGGACCAACAAGGATAAAAAAGAAATTGTACCTTTAAATACTTACCAAATAAGGAAATATGACATTCTTTTTGGGACTGACCAAAAAGGAAATGTTGCCACATAAAATGGGACGGAGGGAGTAATAGATTTCTTAATACATATATAAAGTTATATCTATTGAGAGGCCGAGCTTAGCTTTTGGCCTCCAAAAAATCAGCTGTATTTAATAGCTTTGATCTTTAGAATCACAAAGTTATAAATTTTAAATTCTGATTTGCTGACTCCAACTCTGATTAGATTTTAAAAAAAAAACTAAATTCACATGACAACGAAAACGTGAAAATAGCCAAATCACATGTGATACTAGTAGACTACAATTTCCCAACACACACAAAATATTATACAATTTTTAAAAAAAAATAGGAATATAACTGTCTATATTATTTTGATTTTTGGTTGGAGCACCTATAGTATAGGCAATATAATTGATTACTTTACAGGCATGAAAATGTTTTCCTATTGGTCTACTTTATTTTTTATTTTTGGTTGGAGCATATATAGTATAGGCAAAATTATTATTGAGTTTAAGTTTAATATCACACTAAAAATTATGGTGGATGAATATGATTTCTTCACATATTTTATGTCGAGTGAATTCTCACTTATCAATCGAAACTTCAAAGCAGATACGCAAAATCAGATAAATTTTTATTTTTTTTAAAGTGCATTAACACGAATGAATAATATTTTACACTTTACAGTATCACAGAAATGCTAATTGCCCTTTTTTTATTTTCTACTTTTTATTTTTTATTTTTTATTTTAACCTTTAACCTTAAAGGTTCCCCAAAATTTGTCTTTTCCTTTGTAAAAGTAACAATAATTCTCCTTATTACTACTTTACACAATAATTGGTCATGCCTCTACAGGTTTTTAACTTTTTACAGTTTTAATAATTAATTTTGAAGCTTTCTAGTTTGACCAGACTCATTATTTTTTGTTATGTTTATTTAGTGGCGAAGCTAGAATTATGAGTTTGGGGCTCTAAATTTTAAAGCAGAAGATAAAAATATAACAAAGTTTAAAAAAATAAAAAAACTTTTGTTAATAGTGGGGTTCAAACCGATAAATTTAGCGTGGAAAATATTTCCACATAAATTCCGTTGTAGTCTAGTTGGTTAGGATACTCGGCTCTCACCCGAGAGACCCGGGTTCAAGTCCCGGCAACGGAAAATATATTTTTTGGAAAAAAAAGAAGGAAAGTGTTGGGATACACTAGTAACGTAAGAAATCTTGAAAGTATATAACTTAATTTCTTTTAAATTAATTTACAAAAAAAATGGGCACAAATCGAGTTTATTAAAAGAAAGAAAGTATATTAGAAAAGGCTGGAAAAATATTTAGACATATGCATGCAGATTTCATTGTCAAGAAGAGGTCAAAAGAATAGAAAAGAATAAGCTATGATAATAATTAACTGACAGAAAATAAAACCAATAAGAGTATTATTGATGTTGTTACTCACTTTATACATATAAAAAAAAGGCATGTTATACCTCTCATATAATTCTTTTAAGCTTTCAATATTGTTGTCCTTAGACGGAGTCAGATAGGAGCAAGGGGTTCATCTGAATCTTCTTTAATGAAAATCTACGTTATATTTAGTAAATTTTGAATCTCCTTAATTTTTTTGTATATTCATTTCATAATCCAGTCAATAGCGAAGGCGCAAAACTATTCTTGTTCAAAAAAAGTCAATTATATTGGCAATTCGTCGATATATATTATATGTTGAATTATGTGTATAATTATATATTGACTTCCTTTAGTGAATTCTTTGTTTTGCAATTAACTTTAACGTGTTTTTCTGTTTGGACCAGAATAAATTCAAAAAACATCTTTGTAGAATATCATTAAATATATTTTTAGTAATTTTTTTTTGTATATAAAGTTTTGTTATATATATTATTTTACTTTGATTTATAGGTCTTAAGTATAAATCATGATAGTGTCCCCATAGACTTTTTACTGTCTTAACTTTTTCAGCTAGTATATATTAATCATATTTGTATCTTCACGTTTATTTTTTTAAATATATTTTCACGTTTATTTATATAGAAAACTATTACAATTTTTCTTCTTCTTATCCAAAACAAAAATTAAAGAAACATTTTATCTTTCTATGGGTCACACCTTGTTCAATTCAATGTATATATATATATGACACCTTAGAGTTGCACATATATAGTAATATAATAATTGCATTTTCAAGTTGAAGAAGAAAGCAATGCATGGCTTCAATATGAAGATACATAAATATATACACAATAACAACAATAAATCAGCGGAATAATTTTATAAGTGGGATCTGAGAAAAATAAAATGTATGTCATCTTAATTCTTATATATACATTTATAGGTAGAAAACTTGTTTCTGATGGACCCTCGACAAATCACCTTTTTTATTCGAATTTAGAACGATCAATAATGTGAACGAACTCATAGAAATATATATATATATATATGTTATGGTCCAAGAAAAAACACGTCTACAGTGTTTTACTTTCATGGCGTGTTGGAAACTTTGAAGATTACTTTACTCTAGCTACAATAATAATGGAAAACAAGTACTGTTTATATTATTACATTGTGTAAAAGATAACTACAAATAATTAGGGGGTAAATTCAGAATTTCAAAAAGATAATTATAAATAATAATCCGATGGTCAGGTAAATTAGCAAAAAAGACACACAAAATTCTAAATAATATGTTAAAATCGAATCGATCGAAGGGTACAATAAGTAAAACTAGCTACCCAAAATATATAAGACAAGTAACCTAATTTACCATGATTATTTACTCTATTATAGAGATATTTGATGCACAAATTATCTCGCGATATATTGCAACAAAGACCACACACAGGGGTGGAGCCACGCTTTTTTGACACCCCTTCGCCAGAAAATTACATTTTATATAGAGGTAAAATTTTGGATTAATAAATATATATATAAGTATTGACACCTCTTGGTACAAGTTAAAGATTTAGTCTAATGGTTAAGGGGGTTCCAAAAATTCCTTGAGGTCGCATGTTTTAGCCCTATTAGCCTCATAATTATTTTTTTTGCTACAACTATTGACACCCCTTAACGAAAATCCTGACTCCATCACTGAGTCCGCACCCCAACATATATATTAGTTAAAGAAAAATTAATTTAATTTATTGAACTGGGGAAGGTATTGATGGTTTTGGTTTTGGATTTATCAGGCAAAATGAGAGAAAATTCTTGTAGTTTTATATTTACTACAAGCAACTTATTAATTAAAGTCACCACTATTGTTGTAGAGATAGACTCTATTGGTCTATCATCTCATTGCACATGATGTTCACAAAAAACATTACTTATAATTGAAGAATTTAAAGACTTTTTGGACTTGTATAATTAAGCAGCCATTACTGGAAGAAATTGGGGATCTTCAACAGAAATTTGTGAGTTCCTAAGCATCATAATAATTGTGGTGATGCATTAGTTGTTAGGGATCGAGAATCACGAGGTTTCAGATTTAAATTTTTAGCATAAATAAAAATATTTAATTATTCCCTTTCACCTGTTTAAATCTTGATGCATAGAATTACGTGATATCTTTGTTAATAGAAAGATATTATCATTTTGTTTATTGACTTATATTAAGTACTAATTAGTTTCAATGCATTTCTCAATTATGTGACTTATATTAATCAGGAGTTATATAGTAAAATTATCATTTTGTTTATTGACTTTTAAGAAGTGTATCATGTTAAAAATAGATAAATAAAAATGAACTAATGGAATAACAGATATTCTACAAAATTGATTGAAGCGCGTATAAACTGAAGCGGATTTTATGGTTTATAAAACGATTGTGGTGATGACTTCAATGCATGGCTAAAACTTAATACACACCCCCTTTTCTTTTCTTTAATTTTTTTTTTTTCATCTTCAAAGTTCAAATATAATCTAATATATGTATGAATTGAGTTATAATTAACGTGAATTGAGAACAAGATTCCAATAAATGCGAAACCTTAAATTTCTCTGCTACCCAAAAAGGAGACTAATTTGATGTTTCAAAAGTCAAAAGCATAGACCCATGTGGGTAGGGATGTAGCTCGGTAGACCGCTCGTCGGGCTTGATAGGTGCTAGTATCACACCCTTCTCAAAAAACTATATAGGGATACTTCCGAGTTATACAGCTCCGTCCTGGGATAATTACTCATGTTGCTTAGTACTCCTTCCATTAATTTTTACTCATTCAATATTGACTTGACACGCTTATTGAGCAACAAATAGAATGAAAATATTACTATATCACCCTATGATTAACCTTTTCTTTGAAGTCTTTAAGGCTTGGGAAATAGCAAAAGAAACATCAATTTCTGGGAATTTTCAATCAAACTACAAATTAAGTAGCAGACATATAGGCCCATAGCTTCAAGAATAACATCATGTTCAAACTTTAGCACAAACAAATACAAAACAAAAAAGAATGAAGCAGCTTAGTCAAAAATCTCGAGGACCAATCAGCGCGCACAATTCGAAACTCAATGGACAATGAGCCCACTACTCTACCCTTCTACTTTTATACCAGGATTTGTCACTGGCTCAAAACTCGATGGCAATGAGCCCGCTACTCTACCTTTCCACTTTAATACTAGGATTTTGTCGCCTGCTCGAAATTGGATGGATAACGAGCCAGCCATTCTGCCTTTCTCCACTTAAATACCAAGGTTTGCCTGAATTCGAACAATGGCAGCACAGAGAAGATAGAATCTGACTCTTGATCAACATGAGACATCACGGAATAGCCCTTTCGATTCATCATAAATCCATCTGCATAAAAAATTGACTAAATTACTTACAAATGAAATAAAAAAGCCAGAAATGTCATCTGAAAAACTGGATCTCCAAGGCTATACCACACATTATAGATGTTTCATCTGCATTTAAATCATCACTTCTACAGAAGAGATAATAAAGAAAGTTACGCTTGAACTACGAAATCATGTTCCAGCGTTTTAAGGGGATCTCTTCTGCATCGCCACTAATCAGGGATTATGAATTCGTATTAAACTACCACCAAGTGAACTCTTGAAACATAGTTAAATTCACGCATGCCCCATTGAGACTAAACAACGTTCAGTTATTCATGTCAGATCAAAGTAAAAGAAAAAAAGGAGAATCATATATATCATGCACTATCCAATGAACTGTTCCATATCAACAAGAGATTTGCAAAGCAGATTAATTGACATACTTGCATAGGTAGAGAGGCTGTAATCCACCATTAGGCCCTGTTTCTAGGCGAGATATCCTCTCTCTTTCTTCATTAAACTTGCTCAGAGGAAGTACTTCACATGGACCTTGTATCTGGCCAGCCATTACCGTGGTACTACAATTAGACAAATAGACCTGTAGAAGAAGAAGCAGTGAGTCTTATATAGCATGCAACTTTATCACCTACATGCTAAAGTGGAAAAATAGCATGTATGATAGCATGCGGGTGGGTAAGCAAGATGCAATTCATTCTCGAAAAGATCAGGCTCCATCAAAAAATTAACTAGAATCTCAGGGAAGATCCTCTGCTACAATCAAATAGCTGCGTCAATAGTGTTACATGAAATTTAGGAATGCTTGTTTTTTTTCTTTCTAATAAGATGAATGGCAAACACAAAAGTTATCTTCCAGGTGATATTATAACTTTCTAACAAACACAAATTGTAACATTACCCACAAGGAAGAATGAAATATTGTCTCAATTTCAATTTGTATGACCCTCACGTTTCGAAATGTTTTAAACCTCAATGATGCTTACTTGATACTTCAGGTTTGTTGGGCTTTCCGTCAATTTGATTGAATTTCATGGTTGAAATTTCTACTATTTTATCAAGGAATTCACTCAAAGGAGAGCAACCCTTTTTACGGGCCAGAATATAGATACAAAAAGAGAACAACCATTACAAATACACTCACTTCACAATTTGACCGAAAGAAGGAAACACCCTATGTGACCCAAAAGCAAAGAAAGTCCAAACATATTAGCCTAAGTGCCTAGCTCGTCTACCCTTTCTTCTTTTGAGCCATAAAAATGAAGTTGCACTTGTTCTTTTCTCTTTTAATTTAAAAATAAAATCAGTCGAAGCTACATGGGTACCCCCTACAGTATATGTTATTTACCTCATTGCTTTCCAAGCTACATGGGTGGCCTACAGCATGTGGCAAGTCCCTTGGAAAGTAACACCGATTAACAGTAACCCATTTCTTCCCTGCTTTAATATCCTCCCACATAGCCTGAAAAGAACGGGAAAAAGGTTTCTCCACGTGAACATCAAGGACACATAGCAAAAGAATATATATATATATGTGTGTGTGTGTGCTAGCAAGACTATCAAAGGCATGAATTTGGAAGCAAAAACTATCAGACATCTACTTTATTGCAAAGAGTAAACATTCTCCACCATTGCTCCTCTCAGAAAATTGTCCTAACAAGAATAGTATCACAAGAATCATTGCTGGTCCAAAAATTTAACTTTAGGAAAAGAAGATCACAAATTGGGACAACCAATGACGTGCATATATACATAAGCACTGTCTCTTTAGGATATGCATGTATAAATTTGCATCTGCTCAAGTGCCAGTGATAACTTGGAGCCAAGAACTAGAAAATTTGCACTCAAAAAATAAACATGCACATATCAATGACTAATAGGCTGTTTAGCCCAAACTTCTAAAATCAGCTTATTTTGAAAAGCTTGTCAAAAAAGTACTTCCAAGGGGGAAGCAGTTTGTATAAGGCACTTATTTTCTCCCAAAAGCTTGGCCGAACACCTCTTTTTTTTAAATAAGCACTTTTGGCCTCCCAAAAGCTTGGCCAAATAGGCTATAAGCTCCACAAGAAGCTTCAAATGACACGGGTAAAACATCATTGGTGAACCTAGTCCATATACAATTCGGAGCAGTAATAACTCCAATGAAAGTAGAGATAGGAACAATATTAAAGGGTAGGGTGCACTAAGCTCCCATTATTGTGGGGATTTGGGGAAGGGTCAGACCAAATTAGGTCTATTCACTAGAGTAGTGACTAGAAAATACTATGAATCAGATGACTTCTTTATGGCTATTGGTTAAAATCTAATGAAATCAAATTCTTACCAGAAGCTTTGAAGGAATCAATCTCTCATCCTCAAAACGGATAACAGCATATTCCTGAACATTGTATATGAACCCATTGTGGCGACAAGATTGGTAATAGTGCTTCTCATCTGCAACTTGAAGCACATCGCCAATCCAATCAACACTATGAAAGAGATCTGATGTAGAGCTAACACATTCAGCATCCCCATTTCTGGCAATAGGAGTTTCGACAAGATTTGTCCGTCCGACACCTTGATTTTCTCTTTTACATTCATCGCTTGAACTATTAGCTAAACCTGCTCTAGCACTAGATTCCTTAGCATCACTGACCATGGACAGACTTCCAGGAAACTGCTGGGAAGGTATCTCTACACTATTAGCTAGCTGTGCATGGCCATTGGCCTGCAGGTGATTCAACGCTTGTGAGTGATCAAATGAGATGGAAACTGTTTCAGGTATTGCAGGAGGCTGAGATTTCACTTCAACCACCTTCTGTTCAAAAGATATCATTGAGCTAGCAGGAGAGAAACTGTTATCATTGGAAGACACTGCCAAATTATTTGAACAGATTCCCAAAGTCAAATTACTGGAACAGACTGCAGAAGCAACTCTACTCTCCACATTTCCTTTACCGGACACATTATCAGTTCCTCCCATTCTTTGGTCATTTTGCATCTTTGGCGCAGATGGTAGTTGGTTAAGACTATTTGCCATGCCATTGGTAGTGGAATTCTGCAATGCGACATTCCCATTCCTCATTATCTTCAACTGACGAACCTTCTCATCCGGACCAAAAGCTTTTCTATCTGGAGATGATTGAACTATTGCTGCGATTGTAGGCATTTTAGAGGAATTGATGTTCCGCATCACACGACCATATTTAGGGGGCAGCGGCTTGCCATTGGTTATTGACAAGCACTTTCCACAATGCCATTCCCCTCTAGGTACACTTTTTTGACTTGTTGTTTGGAGACATTTTAAGTGGTAGCCTTTTTCACAAGCATCACACACAAGTACGTTGTCAACCTCATTTATTGTTGAATTGCACATTTGACAAGCCAAAGCCTTATTCATGTAATCACGGGATGGCAGAGTCCATGCAGGCCGCTCAGGAAGCAGAGGCTGTAAGAATTTGTAAACAAGCTTGCCAATTTCAGAATGCGTACTGCTCGGAGGAGGAGCCTGAATAAAGCTCGTGCCTTGTAAATGAGGGTATGTGCTTGTTGAATTTCCAGATGTGCTCTGAGTAATAAATGGCTTAGATGTTGTCACTTGTAGTGCCATTGTTGACCTGACATCAGCACCTCCCTCAATTTTAATAGTTGCATGTGGTGTCGCCTTGTGATCTGCCCCAAGTCGAGCTGCTGAAACTGATGCAGGTAGCACCGACCAAGTTGGAGTTCTGACAGTTGAGTGATTGCCAGTAGTTGCTACAAATCAATAAGCTTCAGATGGTTCAGAACGAAAAAATGAATAAAGAGTAAAATTTAAAGGGAAAACATTCGCGAAAACAATTCTAGCAAAGTCAACTTCCTTGATGGATGAGCAGCAAACTAGGTCCGGATATGTGTTGTTGAAAAGAAAAAGAGAACAGCTAGATGAATTAGAGTCGAATGAAAGATCACTTAAGCTACTTGTAAAATGGCACTCAATGGTCAACTCTGAACCTAGATGATAACCATGCTGATAAGTAAGCATGTTCGACCTAATAATCACCTAGGTTCTTTCTTACTTGTTTGAAGCTAGAAGATGTACTGGGCTAAGTGAAGAAATTGTACAACCTAGACAAGCTATGCTCCATACCTAACCTGAACGTCATTTAGACAAGTTCCCCTATTTATTCTGGCAAGTTGGTAAAGTTCTTCATTGTGGGAATCACTTAACAAACAAAGATCCTGAAGCACCTTGGACAGTTTAGAGGAACACAAATTGGTTACCTTGAACTTGCAATGCATGGGAAGATCCACTTTGCCGTCCATCCATTTGGAAATGATGTCTTCCAACTCTGGGAGGTGCTACTGAAGAAGAATCCCTTACAAGATTACCAGAGACCACCCCACCGGTGATTAAAGGCCTGACCTCACTGGTGGGCAGCTGATAAGGCAAAGATGCAGAACTTATTGGAGTCCCACGTTCCATAGGTGAAGCAGGTTGTAAGCTGCCTGATGAATTTACTGCATGACTTGGTTGTGATGCATTATGGCTTTCAGTTGCTGTACCCACTGCTATTTGAGACCGTTGAGATGGATAGCTGGCAGAGGGTAGAGAAAATTCCTGCGCCTTTTCCATCTAAAAGCAGAAAGGAAAGAGATAAAAATGGGAACTGAGTTCGACATTTAAGATGCAACTCAACAGCCTGACTTGACTACAATTGGTTATATTGAGAAGCATTGGACTTGCTTTTAATCAAATCCATGAACTCCTAGCTGGCTAAACTTTACAGAGAAAGAGCAACAAATTAACCAAAAAGTTCAAATTTTGTAATCTGCATGCACTTGATCTATCAATTATCCTTCAACTCAAATGTTGAAGACCTCCCAAGCTTCCAATATTATTTTATTTTTACAAGCAAAAACGAGGAATAGTTACCCCGAATCTACACTAATAGTTGCAAAGAAGACTACAAGCTCCAAACAAGGTCCTAATCCCAAAACAATTGGGTAGCTTAATTATTTCAACACCCCCTCTAAAAGTTCATATTTACAAACTATAGAATTAATCCAAAACAAGATAGAATAAATAATCTACTAATTCAACAGAAAAGTTCATATTAACAAAATATAGAATGAATCCAAAACAAGACAGACTAAATAATCTACAAATTCAACAGAATAAGCAATCATCTTACACATATACTTCCTACATTTAATTCTTTTAGACTATCTCCCATTACACAACCCCCCTCACACAAACAGTGTATCCCAAACTAAAAATAAAGCTTCCATACCTTTCTTTTCACGGCCAGCAGTTTCTCAGTAATCGACATTTTGGGAGGCTGCCAATGCCCTACACTCACTTCCGTCAGCTTATTAATCCCAAGATCCTCAATAACACTTCCAAAACCATCACTCGGAAACACATCCTTCGGCGCAAACTTCAAACAAACCTCAGCTAACCTCTCCCTAGCCTCCTCCACCATCTCCTTCTCTGCAACAGTTGGACCTCTACCTCCCCTCATCTTCCCTATAGCAGATAATACAAGCACCATCTCAGCAACTTCCCTCACATTCCCATCCACCACCTCCCTTGCCTTCTTCGTCACCCTCCTATCATCCACCGCTACCAGCCTCCTCTTCCCCAATCCTTCCAATACCCGATCTGATTCAATCTCCGCCATTTAAATCTACTGCGAGAAAGAGAGAAGTAAGACGCCATTGGAGAACAAAGAGGAGAAACTAACCTAGAGAGAGAAAAATTTGAAAAATTAAGTTAAAAATTATACCTTATTGGCGGGTAATTGAGTCCCTGTTAGCGGAATTATTCGGCAATTTAACTATCAAAAAATCGGAGCAAGTTTTTTTTTAGAGAGAGAAACACATAGTTGTAGAGAGAGAGAGAAGGCAAAAGGAGAAGCCGGTTTTTTTTTTTTGGTACTAATGAGACGCACCGGTTTGTTTATACCCCCTAATCTTCGGTCTATTATTTTACTTCTTTTTACAACTATGCCCTTTTTTCGTATCGAATCTAAACTAGACAAATAATCATCAAAATGTGGCGCAATGGATAGAGTTGTTTCTTCTTTAACTAGTCTCGATTCAAACCTTCAATATGAAAAAATCTTTGGCATGGAGATTCCCCCTTAATTGGGTCTTACACGGCGCGAATCCAAATTAGTTAAATCTAATGCATAAATTGAATATAGAATGAACCACAAAAAATAAAAATAAAAATTAGACAAACAAATTAAAATGAAAGGAGAATTCAATTATCCTCCTATTTTACTTGTATATGTTGTGGGAAATCTCATTTTTACCCTAGATATTTATTGAAATTCCAAAGTGAGACATTACTTTTAAAATATAACTCAAAGTAGAAGGGTAAATTTGGATATATTTTTTTTCTCAAATTAGGTTGATACGTGGAGTCTATTCATTTCAAGTTTTAGCTTTTATTAAAGGCTAACAAAAATATGAGATGATTTGCTATGACTTACATTCAAATGACCATATTGATAATGAAACTCCTCGTGTTTTACTATAAGAAGTCTGTATCATGGTGAAAATAAGTTAAGGTTGTGATTCTTATTCAAAATTCATACGGAACATCTTCGAGTTATTGGCTCGTCTAACTTGTAATATTCATTAGTTGCTAGTTTAACTATTCCTCGGAAACAAGGTCGAGAAGTATGTACCATCCATGATTGGCTCTGTCAATCTCAAATTTCCACTTAAAACATCCACATAATTTTTGAAATATTCATGTTCTTCCATTAAATAAAGTCAAAAACTGTTATACAAGAATGTATATGTTCATGGTATAAAGAGAATTTATATAAATAGAACAAGAGAGAAAGATTTACAATAGCTATATGAGCAACATGCATATAGCAATTACAACAAGAATAAAAAAGAAGAAAGAAACACATTCTACACCTAGTATACATTTTTGTCTATCGGATTCTCCAAAAGCTACATTTCAGTAAAACGTCTGGTGCAGTGGGAATGAAGAACTCACAACTTACGTTGTTCAGACCCTTCAAACATACTGCTAGGTGTGTATCGGATCCTCCAAAAGCTACGCAATTTTGGAGGGTTCGACATGATTGTAGCAGCATTCTAGAGGGTCCAAGCAACATAGCTCACAACCATATGATGTAGGAACTAACTTATAAATAATTGATTGACAGACGCAACGTCACTGGAAATCTTAATCCATGAGTCACTGCACAGGATATTAGCATTTTGAAGCATGTAGCCGTGAAATGTGGGCAGCAGATATCCTCTACTAAGTTTTATATTTATGTATGGCAGGATCACAGTCCTCAGTGCAGTTGAAATCAGTGCCTGCAAGAGTTTTCAGGGTTCCAGTCAGTTAAATCATCAGCTAAAGAAGGGAACTGTGTTTTGTTGTCACAGAATTAAAAATCCTAAAACAATATCTAAATGATATTTATCAAGCTAATGTTGCTACAGTTAGAAAGCCAATGCAGCTAATCGTTAATTCCATTTATGCAGACACACAGCTATAAAGTCTAGCAGTTGTTTGAGATGAATAAATAAAACCATAACAAAGAGGTCCAATTGATGCAATGTTTAAAGCAGCACATATAGTATTACTTGTGACGTTTGAGGTGCATATAAAGAGACAAGGGGTTACAGCAATAAGCAAGCAAGATAGTGGTAATTAACATCAATGATACACTGCCGATGAGTGTAGATGACCATTTGTTAAATGCTTTTCTATCTCAGCACTATGAGATTAGAACGCTTTTAAATGAACTTCATGACTCAAAAAGGTACCAGCAACGAACTGGAATTAACAGTTTAAGTGCAGCAGGGCTGCATTCTTAGTTGAAAACATAACGAACTGGAAAATAGAACACTGTGAACTGAAGACATACCCGGACTAGACTCACATGCAAATTGCCAATTTTACTCCATTTCAAAGATAAAGAGAGTTCATCTAATCCAATACTTCCTCCCAGATTATTGTTGGAAATCCATGGAGAAGCTGAACCACTGACTGCCTGCAATCGGGAGGGCGAAAATTCATGTGTAAGGCTTTGATAGAACCAGGATTTAAAAGATGACAAGTGAGGTTAAATGCCTTCATAAAACATGTTAAATAATGTTCACAGCAAATGTTTTCAGCATCTCCAAGAATGGATGAAAGACTAATCCAATTCTTTACAGGTAGCAACACAAACTTTTTACTTTTTGCCTCTTACAGCAGTCCCATGACAAGTTTTCTTCTGTTGAATATGCAAAGTTCCACTTATAATTAAGACACCAAACGGGATGAAAACTTAGTTTCAGATATGTATTGCGCGTTCTCAATACAAGCCAATACAAAATATCAAACGCTGGATGATTTTCATGCCAAGGGTTTTAAAGAATAAAGATAGATCCTAATGAATTTAATTGATAAAGAGTTGAGACACAATAAATTGGGATATAATTTTAATATAAACATGTCCCTGTGATAAATATAAAGCTAAGAAGTATGCATTGCTTAATTAACCAGCTTAAATCATAAGAAGCTCAGTTTACTTTTAGTTTCAACCTTTCAGTCTCTTCTTCCACGCTTAAAGGAGGTTTCATCAGAGTGATATCAATTTCCAGAGAGAGTGATAATGAATGGCAAAAAGCTAACGACTGCAAGAAAATGGGTAATAATATGCTAGAGTTGATCCTTTTTCAAAGCTTACCGTTGAAAAGCATGCAACTGGTGTCACTTCACCTGAATTCAAAACATTGATAACGACATCTGCATGAACCGTCAGATCAATCTGATGTTCTCTAATTATCAGATGGGGTGGAGAATAAATGGAAACATTCAGATTCATGTCAGCATTTGGATATCGCCTGTAAAGTTGTGGGACAATGAACCTCCATCCAGCTGTGTTTAACAAGGACTGTTCGGGTACTTTGTCAATAATCCAGTGCATTTTATTGGCCTGAACAGATAGCAGCTATTAGATACAAGTCGTGCCATATAATACTCCAAAGGGGCACTTAACATTGAGTACACTGTTAACTAATTTTCATAGAAAATATTAGAACAAGGCATGTTAAATGATCAAATTCAGACATGGAACAATGCATGTATTAATTTAAAGGTCAAGGGGTAGCTGCTAGAAAAATAATCAATATTCTTCTAGTTATGCATTGATTCACTTGGAAAGAATAGCTGAAGTACTTACATCATAGTAAATAGATGATGCAGACGCTAAAACTTTTTCATTCAAGGAAATAGTAACCATGCTTGCCAGATCCTTCAAAGGAATTGACGCTAATAAGTGTTCTAGAGACGCAAATAAGTGATGGTAAGGAGGTGCTGTGTATGCTTCCTTGGCACTAATTAACCCATTAATTGAAAGAACAAGAGACGAGTCTCGAAATTGTGGGTCACCAACAAAGGTGACATTTAAAGCAGCAATATTTCTTATTGGAATTTCCTTTGGTAGGGACTGCAATAAAGAATCAAGCTTCACAATTCCTTCTCTCAACTTCTTTGAAACAGCGTTTTCTACGGCAGAAGATAATCTACCTTCAAAAGCGTCAATTAACCTGAAAATAAAAGAGGGATATCATAATGATGCTAGTAAAAGCCATCGAGGAAGCAAACTTAATGCACGGGATATATTTTCATGTAAAATATCAGAACTGTCACAAAGGATGGTGAGGATATGATATATGAAGAAACTTTACCTCTCGGAAGCATATTTAAGATGCCACACGTGTATAACTCAGAAAATAGTATTCTTTCCAGAAGGCAGGCATTTTCAGAGATAGATATAAGAGTCCCAAATAAGCAATGTTCCAATGCAACCTAATGCCTTACAAAATACAAATTTTGAGGTATCTTACTTTTTTTTTAATCAGGTGAATATCTTAGTAAGTTTTTGTCACATGCTTGCAAAAAAGAACTGATGCAAATTCCAGTTAGTGAGATTCAATAACAGTTTATTTATGCATTGCCCATGGCACATCAGACATCAAAGTATCTACCATTTCTTTGGGGGAGGGAGTGTGCTGTGAGAGATGTGTGAGGCTTGAGAGATAGTTCTTCAAATAGAAAAAAAATGGTACCCTTGATATAGCCAGGATGCTCCACCATCCAACTTTATAAATATATCTTTCACTGAACATCCACAGTCCAGGGGAGATAGCATAAGAGATCCTTGGACATTCGTCAGATTGAAAGAAATTCCAATGTCCATACCTTCAACCTTTAGGAAAAGAAACATTTATTTATTATCTATAGCATTCACAAGCATTGAACAATGAAAAAAGTAGACAACTATAAATGACAAACAAAAAATGTGAACAAATATACAGACTATCAGATTTAACTATGATGATATAAGGAGAAAATATGCAAAGGAAATCTAGACATGGTGTCCTTGAGATTACAACAGGCGGTAAGTTAGTTCCCCTGCCCATGCGTATAGGATATTTTAAGAAGTGAACATCCCTAAAGCTTCACAAAAGACTCACATAGGCAATATCTAACAAGTCCAAATTATTGATTAGTCATGTTGCTACCTTACGTTAAGGTTGGTGTTTCCAAGGAGTCTTTTTAGTTGAACAAAGATTTGTATGTTAGTAGAAATCATAGATAACCTTCAGTGTTAAAGAATCCTTTGTCTTAAAAATACAAATTATTGAGTACTCGAAAAGTATAGATCCCAATGAAGTGAAATGGATATTGAGACGTCATAAAGTTAACTGTTCTACAGTCACAAAAGCTTGCACATCTGTGGCTGTGCTCCTCATTTGTCTAATACAAACAAGATAGAATTGCAACTATATGGTTCAAGTTTTGGCTTCTGTAGAAGTCTCTTTTCTTGCAGCTTCAAAGTAATCTGATACTTATTTGTGCCACACACAAACACATTCATTTTTTTTGAGC